ACATAACAGTTCAGTGCTCTTTTCTTTGTTTCTCTTGCTTCAAGTCTCTTCTTCATCTATGAGAAAATTGTCCAGCATTCACTGCCATATAGGAGGACTGATATTACATAACAGTTCAGTGATCTTTTCTTTGTTTCTCTTGCTTCAAGTCTCTTCTTCATCTGTGAGGAGATTGTCCAGCATTTGCCATATAGGGGGACTGATATTACATAACAGTTCAGTGCTCTTTTCTTTGTTTCTCTTGCTTCAAGTCTCTTCTTCATCTCTGGGGATATTGTCCAGTATTTACTGCCATATAAGAGGACTGATATTACATAACAGTTCAGTATTGTTTTCTTTTTTCTCTTGCTTCAAGTCTCTTCTTCATCTATGAGAAAATTGTTAATATAGGAGGACTGATATTACATAACAGTTCAGTGCAGTTTTCTTTGTTTCTCTTGCTTCAAGTCTCTTCTTCATCTCAGATATTGTTGCCATATAAGAGGACTGATATTACATAACAGTTCAGTATTGTTTTCTTTTTTCTTTTTTTTTTTTTTTTGACAAGATTTTCCTGTTTCTTAATACTTTGCTTATCTTTTAGAAGACGTCTTTCTCTATCTCAATTCCCCTTCGGATTGCGGTGTCGTACTTTTTGTCCTCCTTTAAAACACGGCATACTTGCTTTTGCCATCCCCAGTTTTTAATTCGCATGTTGGGCTGTTCCTTTTTGCTAACAATCATCTTGGCGGCACCCATCTCATATATTAAAATGCAGAAACACTGAACTGTATGAAATCTGAAAGCACCCATCAACTGACCGTAAAGTGACGGCCATTCAATATTGTTCTTTTAATTTTCATTATTTTAATAACTGTTCAATAGGTGCGTAATTTTGTTTCAATGGGTAATGATCGATGTAATAATGATCCTGATTTCTATATGTTTCAGCGTTTGTTAACGTAATACAAGAAAAAACGTTATATCGTAGTGCAATATACGTCAACGCAATACTATTAAAATTCTCTAACTCGAAAAATTAAGTAATTTCCATTTCATTCAGGGTAACGGTTTCAGAATAATTGTTAGTTAATTAATTATGTATAAACTGACCAAAAATACTTGTTCAAGGGAGATAACTCCAATTTTGTTAACTGTTAATTACAGAATAATTTACCTTTTGTTTGATGAGAAAATAACAAGTACAAATAAGTAATTGGTTAGTCGAGAAGACTGGCCAGTCAATGTCTTAACTAGGGACTGCATGAATACTGCGGGAGATGCTGGCCATTTGAAGATAAATAGTAACTCTTCGTTTACAACGTCAACCACGAAACATTTGGTGATATTATGGAAATACAAGAACGAAAAGTTGTAATAGTGATAGTAACAGCAATAGTAGTAGTAAACGTAGTAGTAGCATCAGTATTAGTGGTAATATAACTTTTACATATTTATAAGTCTACCATTTGTCCTTGCTTTGAATATTGCTGGCACATCTGGTCTGGTGCTCCTGCTATTTATTTAGAGATTCTTGATTAAATCCAAAGAAGAATCTGCTATATTATTGGTCTTGATCCGGAATCTCGGCTTCACTCACTTTCCTACCTCCGTAACGTTGCAACTCTGTGCCTTTTCTTCAAATACTTTCATGGTAATTGATCTAATGAACTTTCCTCAAAGTTACCTAGGTTTTATGTATTTAAGCGTACTACTAGAGTGTGTCCCTAAAATCTGAACACACAGGCAAAAATGCAGATTTTCAAGTAATTAAATTCTCAACAAGATTTTATTGAATTTTAATATTAACAAATAACAACTTCAATATAATTTGCATTATTTGTGATGCAAATGTTGATGGCCCTTAGCAAGATTGTGTGTGTGTGTGTGTGTGTGTGTGTGTGTGTGTGTGTGTGTGTGTGTGTGTGTGTGTGTGTGTAGTAATTAGTACAGAATAAAATTCAAAATTATCTCATATGGGGAATAGGCTTATTTCAACCAACGAAAACTTCGTCAATCTTATTCAACCCCGGTATAGACTGAGTTCATGTCGGAATTAGAAAGCTGCTAAAAAAAAATAAATAAAATAATAATGTTTCAGTTATTATTTGCTCAGTAATAATAAATCAGTTTTAATATTTTGCATTACTAGGATCTACTTGGATTATATACTAACGGAATTAGCACCTTTACTCTCTCTCTCTCTCTCTCTCTCTCTATATATATATATATATATATATATATATATATATATATATATATATATATATATATATGTCTGTGTGCGTGTGGCCTGAAGATTGCGTTTTGCATGAAACAGACTCTGGGTGTTGATCGATGACTGTTTTTTATATTTACATACGCTTTATTCCTGATATGTCTTAAAACTATATATATAAATATATATATATATATATATATATATATATATATATATATATATATATATATAGGTAAGGTGTCTCGAAATTCTGGAAACATAGGCAAAAAAGCGTAATTTCACGAAACGAAATTTCCAACAAGATTTTATAGAATTATAATATTAACAAATAACTTCTTCAATATAATTTCCATCATTTGTGATGCAAATGATGATGCACTTTGCAAGATTCACATGTACTCAATGCAATAACTTCACACATTATCGTCTATTTTAGCACATTCACTCTTTATGCATTCAATCAAGTGTGTAGCATGTCATTTTCATTGAGTACACCTTCTCCTTTAGCATACCACTAGAAAAAAAGAAATTAATTCTTTCTTCTTTTGACAAAAACATGTTTAATCTGTAGAGGTAAAAAAAATGTAGTTAATGATATTTCTTATGTGTATAGACTTTACGGACACCCTGAGGATTGGCGGCAAGGTGTCGTGATTTTACTATTGAAACAGCTAGATATAAATGTAAGTTCTATGCTAACAGTTTCTTTCGTCGCACTCCTCGCCTGTGGAAACCCCTTCCTGTTTTATGTTGCTCATCCAACTTTGATTTTCAAAAATTTAAATGCAATGTCTATCGTCATCTACCGTCTTCCTGATTCCTTTTCCTTTATTGTCCACTCTCTCTTAATAATTCTCGTATCTTTAACACTGAGTACCCCCCCCCGTTACGTCTTAGTGGTTTTATTGCCTTGCTTTCGGTGAAATGATTTTTAAAAAATTAATCTAAACTGGATCGGAAGAATAAGGTGGAGATGAATACAAAATGAATACGTAAGAATGATTATATTTATTTGCCTATTAAATGAAATAGGGCACAAGATTTAAACTGAGAGCTTTCATATTTTTCTGTCATCATCATTATCGTCATCATCATTATCATCATCATCATCCCCTTGACTTTTGTAATCGTAAGGCGGATCTGAAGCCACACTAACTCTTTTTCTCCAACGATCTATCAATAGCAGCCATCAGCAATTCTGGTAAATTGTCCAACCAATTTTTGAGTTGGCATCCTCTCCTACGTCCACCTTCAATATACCTTGTATGATGGCCTGGCACAGGCAGTCGTGCCTTGTAATGTTAGATAGATAGATAGATAGATAGATAGATAGATAGATAGATAGATAGATATCATCATCATCATCATCATCATCATTTTGACGTTTGTAATTGCAGTGGGGGATCGAAATGAAGAAGCCACACTAATTCTTTTCCAAAACGGCCTATCAATGGCAGTCATCAGCAATTCTGGTAAAGTCATACCTGTCCATTGTTTGACATTGTCCAACCAGTTTTTGCGTTGGCGCCGTCTCCTACATCCACCTTCAATTTTGCCTTGCATGATGGTCTTGCTTTACCTTATAATGTGTCCAAACCACGCCATTTTTCTCCGTTTGACAGTGGCGAGAAGAGGTTCCTGGTGTACCACAAAACTTTCAACCCTTTTCCGCGCAAATTCATTGAATTTTGTTCCCAATAGTAAAATTCTAAGGATTTTTCTGTATATTTTGTATATATCTAAACAATTTATGAATGACAATGTCGGAAAGTAAGAATTTCACTGAAATATGTTGAAAAATTTCCAAGATTTTATCCGAAATCAAGAAAAATCGAACTTTAAACAAAATGATCACAATGCCGGTAAAAAAAGGGAATCAGTTTACTCCATATCCTCCTGGTGTAAGTTTAAATTAATGTCTTCTATTTTTAACCCCGGATATCTAAACCATAATTATAAACTATAATTTTAGAATTAATTTTTTCACTGAAATATGTTAAATAATTTCCTATTTTTCATTTGAAATCAAGATAACGAACTTTAAACAAAATTGTCACAATAAGTTTTTTTTGTTTAATTATGTTCACTCTGTACAAGGCCTAAAAGCCTCTCGAGGTAGAGGGTCACACAGTAAGAGGCAACCGAGGAGATAATGCCACCAACATACAAGGATCCACCGGAAGTGAACAGAGAAGGAAAAAATCTCTAGTCCTGTTCAAAAGACCGAGGCGAAGTATGAAGCAGACAATAGGCGAACCTATCTACTCCTATTGCTGAAAAAAAAATGTAAATAAATAGTAGATAAAAATTCAGAGTTTTAAGCGGTCCGTTAGAAGTATAGAGTTGAAGTAGACTTTAGCAGGAACCGGAAACGCTAACCCTAAACCGGAAACAAGGGATAAACCTCTACTCCTGTTCAAAAGACCAGGGATGTGTGTGAATCGAACAATAGAAAAAAGGTGTGATCTAAACCCATATCCTCTTGATATAATTTCAAACTGACTTCATTTTTTCATATTCTCTTTTAAGGCATCATGTCCTTTCATGGTGGAGGCTCTCCACAACTTCCTGTTTCTTCGTAGTTTTATATCGATTGATAGATTCGTTTTCTACGGCTTATCAACCCTTTGCAGATTATTTAAAGCCAGAAAATATATTTTTTAGATTGTTTAACTTCGGTGATCATACGGGAACCGGTATTTCTACGTGATAGGGCCGCAACCATTCGTTGTTCTGAGAAATGTTTGTCTTTTTATTCATCCTCTTAATCCCCGTTCTGCCAATATAAGTGTGAAACTAAATGAAAAGAGCATGGCTTCTTCTTCTTCTTCTTCTTCTTCTTCGTCGTCGTCGTCGTCGTCGTCGTCTTCTTTCTTTCTTTTTCTTTCTTTCTTTCTTTCTTTTCTACTTCCTTATCTTCTTCCTTTTCTACTTCTTCTTCCTTTTCTTCTTCTTCTTCCTTTTCTTCTTCTTCTTCTTCCTTTTCTTCTTCTTCTTCTTTCTTTCTTTCTTTTTTCTTTCTTTATTCTTTCCTACTTCTTTCTTTCCTTCTTCTTCATCTTCTTCCTTTTCTACTTCTTCTTCTTCCTTTTCTTCTACTTCTTTCTTTCTTTCCTTCCTTCCTCCTTCTTTCTTTCCTCCTCCTTCTTCTTTTCCCTCTTCTTCTTCCTTTTCTTCTTCCTTCTTCTTTTTCCTTCTCCCTTTTCTTCTTTTTCTTCTACTTCTTTCTTTCCTTCCTTCTTCATCTTTCTTTCCTTCTTCTTCTTCCTTTTCTTCTTCTTCTTCTTCTTCCTTTTCTTTTCCTTTTCTTCTTCTTCCTTCTTTTTCTTATTCATCTTCTTTCTTCTTCCTTCTTCATTTTCTTCTTCGTCATCTTCCTTTTCTTCTTCTTCTTCTACTTCTTCTTCCGTCTTCCTTTTCTTCTTCTTCTTTCTTCATTTTATTCTTCGTCGACTTTCTTTTTTTCTTCTTCTTCTTCCTTTTCTTCTTCTTCTTCTTCTTCTAAAAACAACAGCGCATCAATCTAAAGAACAGAAAATAAAATATTCGACGACTTCCGAATTAAAGTTTCGCAGATCCACTTGTCGTCAAGGTAAGATATCAATCTAATCGATTAACAGATTTGAGATTGATTTTAAATACAGAAACAAAGCAAACATACTAACAATCACCCACACTTCAATTTAAAATGGCTAAAGAACTAGCCGAAAGCGTTCGAGGCAATAAAAAATATTTGGCCAGTTTCTCCGTACATATAGCTCTCAAAAAAAAGAATAATTGTAAAGAGACTAGCAAAACTGGATAATAAAAAAAAATTCAAAAATATTCCTTGTCCGTCATATTCACCGAAATATGCATAAAAGAAGGATTGCTACTATATATATATATATATATATATATATATATATATATATATGATAATATGTATGTACATCGCTTCATAGCCTCATGTTGCCTGAATTTACCAACTAACTGCTGAACGCCGATTTTGGCAAAAGTAATGAGAAGTTTGCCGAAAAATGCCGCCGTGTGATTAGTTGCCAGATTGTTCGCTATTCGCCCGGCGATCAAGAAACATCCTTACAAGATGAGTAAGGAGAACGTCTATTGATCAAAGACGCGAACAAGGTGCCAAATCAAGATGGCCAACAAAATGGCTCTTAATCAAGTTAGTTCTTCTCTGAGTATAAATTATTGTCATCGAGTACAGGTTCTTCTTTTTTTTTTCTGGGGTGAGGGAAGGTGTCGGTGGTTGCCGGGAAGCGGTCTCTTTTATTTGAGTCATCAGAAAGAGCGTTCATGATCTCTCTCTCTCTCTCTAGCTTGTTCCGTCTTGATGGGAGGAGTCCTTACGTTGTGGCAGTGCCTACGCGCATGCGTGTGTGTTTAATGAAGGGGCTGTTCTTTTTCATACTTATGTTAAACCTACATGAGGACAACCGACTTCCTCGATATAGCCCCCCCTTTTTGCTACCCCTCACACTTTTACCTCCATTTCTATAACTTTGTCTCCCTTTCTCGGACTCTCTCTCTCTCTTTCTCTTTCTCTTTCTCGGACTCTCTCTCTCTCTCTCTCTCTCTCTCTATCTCTCTCTCTCTGTTCAGCCACCTGCAACGAACTATTTTTTATCTACAGTTGAGGATTCGTATAGCGAGTTTTATATCTATCTATCTATCTATCTATCTATCTATCTATCTATCTATCTATCTATCTATTCCTCCCTCCTTCTCTTTCCCTCTCTCCTCTCTCTCTCTCTCTCTCTCTCTCTCTTCTCGAATATTATCAAAATATAAATCTACACCCGGTTTCTTTCAATCTCACTCTTCCTGAAAGAATTACTCCCCTCCCAAGCCAACATACACGACCACAACAATGTCGAAAAAAAAAAACAAAAAAAAAAAAACGATTAAATCCATCACCTCGTGTTTTTGAAGATCTACAGCATATAAGTAGATCCCAAACCATAACAATCTGATCACAATTTAAACAATATTCATATTGAATATTACTCACTCACTTTTGTCTTACTAGAATTTGAATTAGGACACTTTGTGTCCTCCACTTGCTTTGACTGACCTTTCAAACCCCTGATGAATATTAATGAACGTTCTAAAATTTGAAAGCCTTGATAAACCAATGACATCCTTGATTTTGTATATAAATTCGTGCAACGAAATAAATCCTACATTGCCTTTATAAAGTCCCTGAGAGAGCGAAACGCGTCGGTTAAGAATAGTTTTTCCTATTGACATTTTATACAGTGTTTTTCTTCACAGATACACTCTACCTGAAAATAATTTACTTTCATACATACATATATACATACACCCTAATATTAGAAAGAAATTTCTAAGAAAAAAAAAGTCATTCTCATACAACAACACATTCACCATACGTTCCTCGCATTCGGGCGCCACGTATTGTTTACATTAATCACTCGTCGGATTTTGTTTGTATGACAATGACATACTAGTCAAGAGCAGAAAGGTTCCTTCTGCTGCTTGGAAACAGAGCATGTTTAAGCTTGTGGCTCGGCTCCAGGAAGGTTTATAGTCTTGGAAATACTTGTAACAGCTAAGTACTGAGGTTACATCATATAAAAGGTTGAATTAGATAGATAGCTAACATTATAGTGTAATGACTCAGCATACAAATCCACGTCCCAATCAGTCAAGCCAATTAGGTGACATTGCAAGCTTACTTGAGCCTAGGCGTTGCCTTACATTCATCTTGGAAGACGCACACGTATTTTTCATTTTATGTTTTAGGAAAAAATTGCGTCTTGTAAGCCGGAAATACGGCAAAGTAAATTGATTAATTAATAATCACTCTCAAATTTATTTATATTATATATATATATATATATATATATATATATATTTCTCGTTTCCACTTGGTCAAAGGCCGACTAATACACAAAAATATTATTATGTTTGTTTTTTAATCTCTCAAATTTCTTTCATTACATATATATATATATATATATATATATATATATATATGAAGAAATATAGTTTTAAGGTGTGCGGCTTGACGATTGCGTCTAGCATAAAACAGCCTGTCGCCTCTGAGTGTTGACTTCAATGTTCACTTTATATATATATATATATATATATATATATATATATATATAGTCAAACCTAAAGAGCCAGACAAACCTACCAAGGTTTCACGTAAGCGGGTCGTCAGGGAAAGCTGGCTTTCCCTGACGATCCACTTAGATGAAACCTTGGTAGGTTTTGTCTTGACTAGGTCTGCTCTACTTTTGTATTGAGCACTTTTTAGTTAGTTGATTACTCGTATCGGTTTTTTTTTCTTCTTTAGGCTTTGGACCTGTATGCTGTACGATTATTTTCGACAGACGTTCATGTTCCTAGCTCTTTCTTTTTTTTTTTTTTTAAACCTTTTTTTCTTTCGAAATTGATTTGACCATTAGCAAATCAAGAAACCGAAGGTTTTTCGAGACGAGTGTAGTTACCTATATATATATATATATATATATATATATATATATATATATATATATATCAGGTATAAGAGAACAAATGGACTATAATTCCACTGTCCGTAGCATTTAATTTCGAAAAAGGCTCAATACGGAGTAGAGCTTTATATTATTTATTATAGGAATTGTTTTAATCTCCTATATAAAATATATATATATATATATATATATATATATATATATATATAGAGAGAGAGAGAGAGAGAGAGAGAGAGAGAGAGAGACGGACAGACAGACAGACAGACAAACAGAGAGACAGAGAGAGAGATAATTAGTAAGGAATTAATGGGTTTTATTTTTAATCCAACGTTATTTCTTATTACTTTAAAGATTATATTTTGGTGGATACACGTGTTTGTATAGACGCCCTGTTGTTTTTTTGTTTTTGTTTTTTTTCGTTTTTTTTTCTTCATCTTTCAACCACGTGTATTAAATCTACTGGCGGCCTGTTCATCCCAGAGGCTTAATAAAGAAAATGTTCCCTCCGACTGGCTTCCGCAGCCGAGTGCCCCCATTAACAGCAGGGCGGGGGGAAACTTCGTCTTATCCGACTTTGTTTACGTTTTCAAGAAAATTCGCCTTCCTTAAAAAGGCTAATTCAACCTTGATGGACTTTGCGTGTCCAAGTCGTCTACTAAAGTACACTGAATAAATCACCAGTTCCCACAACTTTTTCCTCAAAAGTATATATATATATATATATATATATATATATATATATATATATATGGAGAGAGAGAGAGAGAGAGATCAGAACAAAACTAATAGAATTTATTCAAGCTTACTATTTATGGGAGCGGCGTTAATTGTAAGAGATCACCCTTTTTATTTAAAGAGAAAAGTTAATTTATCGAAGGTCGGAGAACGAATCGGTTGAACAACTATTGTCTTAATCGAGATCAAAGTAAAGTCCGAAGTTTTAATATTAAATGTCACTATGTCGTGAAATGCTTGAACTAGTATCGTGATCTTTGTTGTTTTTATCACCTTGCTTATAACGGTATGCTCCTTCCCATTGTACGTCTGTTAGATTTTTTCTTTTCTTTATATTTCACTTATTCTTTCTTTCTTTCTTTCTTTCTTTCTTTCTTTCTTCCCGTTTTTCTGTCTTTTCTCTGCTTTTTCTCGTTTTTCTTCTCTTTTTTCTTCCCATTTTTCTCTTTTTTCCCCCCGTTTTTTTCTCTCTTTTCCTCTTCTTCCCGTTTTTCTTCTTTTTTTTCTTTCCGTTTTTCTCACTTTTTCTTTTCTTTTTTTTTTCTCCCTTTTTTCTACTTCTTCACTTTTTTCTCTCAAAGCTCAAATTAAAGTACAAGTCTTGGATTAACAAAAAAAAATAGAAAGAATCCCGTTTAAAATGCAAAAGTCTTTTACGTGGAGTGAAAAAAAGAAAGAAAAATATTTAACCTGGTCAAATTAAAAGGTTTTAATCAGACCAACTTGACTTTTGAATTAGTTTAGATTGGCGTTTCTTTGTTGTTCCCATTCATTGGTCTTAATTACGACTGATTTCGAAATTAGATTAAAGAAGCATTTTATATTGAATTCTGTGTGCGTGTGCGCGTGTGGGTATGTGTTTGTTTGTGTGCATCTGTGTAAAAGAGCAAAAGAGAAAGCGATTGTGTGAGAGTGTATAAATAAAAGAGAGTGAGTGAGTGAGAGATGAAAAGAAAGAGTATAAATATGAAAGAAATATAGTGAGCGTGCGTGAATAAAAGATATAATGACAGGGGGAGGAGCGAGTGTGGAAGAAAAGAGAGAAAGTGGAAGTGTGTCTAAAAGAGGGTGCGTTAGAGAGAGAGAGAAACGGGAAAAGAAAGCAAGTATAAGAAGTGTGAAAGAAAGACAGAGAGACCGTCGTACATGTGAGAGAAACACGGATATATATATGTGTGTGTGTGTGTGTGTGTGTGTGTGTGTGTGTGTTTGAAAAGCAAAAATGTTCGGCTGAAATCTAAAAATATGACAGTTTTTAAATAGCTAGATTATATACTCTAGAGAT